TAGGATGTAACCCTCGCAACATGACAGATGTACTAACCCTTCATGCAGTCAATGAATGTTTTACTGAATAAATGTTTGTTGAATGAAAAAAAAAAAGAACAAACAAATAAACTGGCTAAAAAATTAAACAGGGAAGAATGTGAACCAAACAGACATAGAAAAGACTGTTGGGCTATCATCATCATCATCACCATCCAAGGTAGGAAATATCTCAGCAATGTACCAAATAATATAATAAAAATTTACAGAATGCCTGACTAGCCTATGTGCTATATCCTGTGTGGATCCATAGGTTCTAAAGCATGATCCTTGCCACTGTTACATCTCAGTCAGTTTTAAAGAAATATATCTATTCCCTACTAGGCCCTATTAATAAAATATATTTTTCTTCTAGGGGAGCTTAGAGTATATTAAAATGTACAAATTGATTTGTTCAAATTTTCATCTTTAATAGAATGGCTAAACTATTCTGTGTTCATAATTTGAATTATGCAACTAAAAGATACACCTATATATCCTTTACAGCAGGAAGGCTGTGTACAATAACTCACAAAGATGTTGAAGGATTGAACTGGTGCAGACCATCAGAACAGAAAGAAAAAGCCAGCTGTGAGAGCTTGGGTAATCCATGTTGGTGTAGAGGAGCCAGAAGGGAAAGACTTTGAATATAGCGGAGAACTTTCACATGTTGAATGCTGAAAGCATTATGTGTCTTTGAACAATTTTATAATCCCTCATACAGAACTTGTATCCTTTACAAAGAACACTAAGGAGGATCATACTAAAATAAGGAAAAACTAGATAGACGAAATCATTTGTTTTAATACTACAACAATGAACTCTTTGTTAGTGAGAACTGGTAACATCTAAGGAAATAAGTAGAATACAGGACAGGGCATTTTTTAATTGGTTGCCTGGAAAGTCACTGAAAGTAGTAAGCCATGTTAACTTAATGCATGCTGTTAGATGTGAAAAATGTCATCTTATCCATTGCCCAGCAGAAACAGTCAGGGTGAAGGGAAAACATTAATAGGCTAAACAAGAAGTTCATGGTTTAAAACGAGAGTCTGAACAGTTGCATCCTTTAACAGCCACATATACTGTATGGGCAAACGCAGGAAAAACAATCCATTGAAATGTATTTAGAATTAAACAAGCAAACAACAACAACAACAGCAAACCCCTTGGAATGTTACCCAGTTCCATCAGTTGTTATTCACTCATTTAAGAAATAATGTTGGGTTATCTGAATGATTTGCCATGGCTTTCCTGTATGCACTAGTTTGTTGATTTCTAAAGTTGAACCCCAGAGGCAGAGCTTCACAGGGAGGAAGCATTCTAGTACAGGGCCTCTTTCGCAAAACCTCCCAGGACCGGGTGAGGACACTCCCACAGATTGCATCTATTGGGTGTCCACTGCAAAATCTGCCTGACTGAATTCTTTCTGAGAATAGCTCATGCGCTCCTCTTGAGCAATACTTGTTTGTTTACTTGTTCTAAAGAGCAAGGAGATGACACAGGACAGATTGGACAACTGGCCAATAGTGTCCCAGAGGACTTCCAGGGTGGAATATGTCTTCCAATCAGAAAGAGGAGAGGCGGGACAGGCCTGAGGAGGTGAACTACTTCTCAGTGTGACTTGCCCTCCATATTGAGTGTGGCAAAAATAACCCTAATGTGTTCTAGAGCAGGTTAATGTTTCGCGCCCCGTTTGACAGATTCTTAGAAATAGCTAGCATGATTTACAGCTGCGTTACTCAATAATGCTGTGATGTCATATTCAATTCTTATCGGTTAAATTATTTCCCCCATGATTATGGTCATTTAATGTTATGGAAAAAGGAATAGGGTAAGAGTTATTTAAAACTGACACTGCTTGGCTTCCTACAATGATTATTTGATAGTTTAAAAGCACCAGGAGATTCCTGGAGAAAACACTAAATAACATGTGCTTTTGCTTTCCCCTTTTTTATGGGTTGTTTCAAGGAACTGTAATATTTGTTATTCAACTAAAAATAAATCATACTATGTTTATATTAGCTACCTTAAAATAATTCATGAACAATATCAATTTACCACTCTGAATATTTTTCACTACATCAAACTTCTATTAAACTGCAGTCGGAGGCACATGAAATTTTTCACATACACTCAAGCACACTTGTTTTCAAAAGTTACATGAAGTTACTTTTTAAAAAAATTTTAGAGAGGGAAAGAAACATTTATTTGTTGGTCCACAAATTTATGCGTTCATTTGTTGCATCTTTTTTAATTTAATTGAAATTTTCTATCACCATTTATCCCCTCCTTGCCCTCCACCATACCCCCAACCCCAAAGTAATTGCTTCTTGTATGTGCCCTGATGGGAGATTGAACCTGCAACCTTGGCATATCGGGATGATGCTCTAACCAACTGAGTTAACCTGGCCAGGGCCTAAATTAATACTTCTTAAAAAAAAATTATATATATATATATATATATATATTTGGTTTCAGAGGGGAAGGGAGAAGGAGAGATAGAAACATCAATAATGAGAGAATCATTGATCAGCTGCCTCCTGCATATCCCTACTGGGGATCAAGCCTGCAACCTGGCATGTGCTCTTGATCAGAACCAAGCCCGAGACACTTCAGTCTTCAGGTTGACGCTCTGTCCACTGAGCCAAACCAGCTAGGGCCTAAAGTAATACATTTTAAGTCTCATTAATTATTTATTCAAACATGCTAGTCTAAAATGGAAATTATGCTTATGAGAAACCTTTACACACCAACTGAATTGGATGATTTCCTGAGAAAATATGTAGGGGATATGTGGGTTTAGGGGTTAATTTATTTAATTATATTTTAAATTTTTTGGGGGTTTTTCAATTTTTATTTTTTTAATAATATGTTTGTTAAATTCAGATAGGAAGGGAGAGGGAAAGAAACATCAATGAAGGGCGAATCATCTATTGGCTGCATCCCGAACGCTTCCCTCCTGGGGATTGAGCCCCGTAACCCCGGGCATGTGTCCTGACTGGAATCAAACCATGACCTCCCTAGTTCATAAATCGATAGTCAACCACTGAACCCACACCGGCCAGGCAGAAATATATGATTTTAGATTCAAGTGGGAGCTCAAGCTTAGGGATAGGACTATAACAACCACTGTAAATGTGGACTTCAGTACTTGAAAATCTCAAAGAGTAATCCAGTCCCAACACTAGCATAGCCCTTGAGGCTAATCCCTTGAGGCTATTACAATGAACCAAGGCCACCCGGTAATTTGGTAATGCTTTATGGATGCCTAAGGGACTAGGAAAATATGAAACTCTCCTTCCCTTCCCCCCACTCCCATATGCCAGATAATTTATTTCTCCCTCTTGCATTTGGAACAGTTATCCAGCAAGAGAATGAGAGGTCCATTTCTTACAAAGTAGCACTAAGCCAAGAAAGCACTCACCAGTCAATACTAAGTACCATAAAAATCCCTTTGTACTTCAAAACTGATCATTTTGTGTTTGGCAGAAGGTAGGTACATAATAAGCACTTACTGGATTTTTTTTTTCAATCTTCACGGAATAAAAACAAGATAGTACACTGGAAGCTTAAATCTTTGGAATTTTGGAAACCAGATAAAATGTCTAAGTGTTCTTTATTAACTGTATATTATCAGATTTTTAAAGGTAAAGAACTGTGACAGAAAGAGGAAAAAAGAAAACGTGAGACAGCAAGTGACACATGCACAAATCCACTGTTCTTTTGTAGACAGAATAAAGAGCTACAACTAACATCATTGTTTTGGTGGTGGGGAATAATTGCATGGGAACTCTAACATACTTGCTTCTCTATAAAGAAAAAAATTCCAACTGTATTAAAACCACTTTAATATATCTTATACATTTGTATAGTAATGCATATTAGCACACTCCAATTACTTTATCGAACAGGCATATAAAAAAGGCTTTTACAAACTTAAAAGGGCCAAAATCCTGGAAATATGATAATCTTTCAAAGTATTAGATATTAAAGAGCAAAAACAGCCAAAGAATCGATTGCTGTTCATATAGATGTGTTGTAGGCAGCAGGAATGGCACCAGGTATCTGACCCATGGGGTTAGACCAAAACTAGGTTCAGCATCCTCAGTGCTTGGGTTCTGGCTAGGAAAGAATTCAGAGCAAGATGCAAAACTGTAAGAGAACATTTATTGAGGAAATGACAGAGTTAGAAAAAGTAATTCCTAGAAGAAATGGGCTTAGAAAACAAGTTATAGAGGCAAAGGAAGAGCTCTTGGAGCTTGGGAGTGAGGAAGCTAATGATAATGTGCCTGGGTGGAGAGAGAGGGGAAAGGCATGGGAGGGAGAGGGCACTGGTTCCTCCATCCTAAGGATTTTATTTATTTTTAAAAATCTTTATTGTTGAAAGTATTGCAGATGTCTCCCTTTTATCCCCCACTGCCCCCCTCCACCCAGTTCCAGCCCCACCCTAGGCCTTCACCATCCTATTGTCTGTGTCCATAGGCAATGCATGTAAGATCTTTGGTTAATCTCTTTCTGCCCCCTCCAACCCTCTTCCCTCTGAGATTCGTCATTGTTCTATGTTTCCATGCCTCTGGTTCTATTTTATTAATCAGTTTATTTTGTTCATTAGATTCCTTATTCATTTATTTTTATTTTTAGATTCAATTATTGATAGATATGTATTTGTTGCCATTTTATATTCATATTTTTTCTTCTCCTCCTCCTCCTTCTCCTCCTCTTCCTTCTTTCTCGTCTTAAAGAATGCCCTTCAACATTTCATGTAATACTGGTTTGGTGGTGATGAACTCCCTTTAGCTTTTTCTTGTTTGTGAAGCTCTTTATCTGACCTTCAATTCTAAATGATACCTTTGCTGGGTAGAGTAATCTTGGTTGTAGGACCTTGCTATTCATCAATATTTCTTGAATATTTCTTGCCACTCCCTTCTGGTCTGCAGTGTTTGTTGAGAAATCAGATGACAGTTGTAATGGTCACTCCCTTGTAGGTAACTAACTGCTTTTCTCTTGCTGCTTTTAAGATTCTCTCTTTGTCTTTAGCCCTTGGTATTTTTAAAAAATATATATTTTATTGACTTTTTACAGAGAGGGAGAAGGATAGAGAGTTAGAAACATTGATGAGAGAGAAACATCGATCAGCTGCCTCCTGCACACCCCCCCACTGGGGATGTGCCTGCAACCCAGGTACATGCCCTTGACTGGAATGGAACCTGGGACCCTTCAGTTGGCAGGCCAACGCTCTATCGGATATCCACTGAGCCAAACCCGTTAGGGCTATCCCTTGGTATTTTTAATTATGATGTGTCTTGGTGTGGGCCTCTTTTGGTTCCTCTTGTTTAGAACTCTCTGCATTTCCTGGACCTGTAAGTCTATTTCTTTCACTAGGTAGGGGAAGTTCCTGTCATTATTTTTTTCAAATTGATTTTCAATATCTTGCTTTCTCTCTTCTCTTCCTGGCACCCCCATAATGCAAATATTGGTACGCTTGAAGTTGTCCCAGAGGCTCCTTACACTATCTTCATATTTTTTGGATTCTTTTTTCTTTTTGTTCTTCTGATTGGGTGTTTTTTGCTTCCTCATATTCCAAATCATTGATTTGATTCTCAGAATACTCTACTGTTGAGAATTTAGGGGAGGTCCCAGGGAAAGATCTTAATAGAATACTCAGCAGTTTTCCAAGTGTGTCCTTTCAGGGTTGTAGTCTCCAATGATTGATTGGCTGGCTCCAGGGCAAGGCATCATTACTCAATGCAGCTGGTCCTGACATCAGCTGTGGCTGGTTTTATTGCTTATCTGGACTTCGAGCTGAAACACAATTGAGGCCTAGATGTTATCTCTAGGGAGGAAAGGTCAGGGGGTCCAAACGGCATGACCAATGATATGCTAGGGGATGAAAAGTCACCCTATAATTGATTGTCCATTGCTAGGCACTGGGGGCTTTCCATTCTGGTGACCTTCTGTACCTGGCCCATCATCCTTGCTCTACTCAGGTCTAACTGCCTACTACGACATTCCCCCGACTCCCCAAGGATCTTGTTTCAGAAATCTCTCAGAGAAAAGGGGTGCAGGGTCTCTTCTGTAGCTGCTGAAAGGGGGTGACATTTTTCTTCAGAGCCAAGAGAACCTTGCTCTCTGTCAGAGAGACAATGAGGCCTGGGCATGGAAGGAGGTAGCAATGGTGTCTAGAGGTAGTATTCCCTGAATATGAGTAGGGTTTGTAACTTGGTGGGGACAAACTGTGTTTTAAATCTTAGTATTATTGGGGCAAAGATAGAACAACAAGAATTATGACAAATGGTCCAGTGGAAGGAAAAACATTTTAGTACTCACTGATTCCAAGTCAAAGGATGGGATAAAATGAAGCATTAGTTTGGAGAGTTGTAGGTAAATATTTTAGAAAACAAAATAAATTTAAGATTCAGTTCAATTCATAGGTGAAAAATAAAATTTTGAAGACAATTGACTGAATTAGTCTAATATTGACTGTGTATTAGAGTCTATTGAAACAAAAATTTTCCCCCCTAAAACCACCCTCACTGTCATTAAAGTGCCATATTAAGACCAATTCATTTACTGCTTTAAGTTTAGTTTCAATTTGGCCCAGCCAGTGTGGCTCAGTGGTTGAGCCTTGATCCATGAACCAGGAGGTCACAGTTTGATTCCCAGCCAGGGCACATGCCTGGGTTTCAGGCTCGATCCCTAGTGTGGGGCATGTAAGAGGCAGCTGATCAATGATTCTCTCTTATTGTTGATTTTTGTGTCTCTAACTCTCCCTTCCTCTCTGAAATCAATAAGAAATATTTTTTTTAAAAGTTTAGTTTCAATTTGGCATGATTGTTTACATAAACACAATAAGAATAGCAACTGAATGTATAGGCTCTTTTAAAATCTGCTTTGCTGGAATCTCATGATTGAGCTTTAATGAGCCCCTCAGGCCAAAGAAGTTGAGCCACCTAGTTGCCACCAGGTTTTCCTGCATTACCTGTATACTTGGGTAAATTCCTCAAGTTCTTGAGGTTCCCCA